TATCTTTGTTTAACATTTGATGAACAACAAGGATACCATGATGTATCATGCGCATGATGCGCTTTGCGGAACGCAGCCAGTTTTCGAGCCAACATTCCACCTCCATGTCTATATACTCAAAAGGTAAGGTTATAAATTTAGTGACTTTAAGGCCACGCGAATTATTTTTTAAGCAATGTGACGCGCAACCATGCCAGTTCAAAAACTGAACTACGTGTTGTAAAGTCTGTTATTTATAGCTAATAACAAATAATTTTTTATTATACACATCGCGATTGATAATAAAAATGTAATCGTCGATCCTAGACTAAGATTTGACGAATTCCAATTCGTCGAATTTCTCATCTATTAGCGCTCTATTGATGAACAGCTGTGCCATGGCACATTTAACTACTACTCACAGTTAAGTTTTATTCCAAAGAAAAGGTTACAGATAGTTTTACTCAAAAGTGCATTTACACTGTATCATCAATGCTGTGAAAAAAATTTTTTACTTATAGATTGGTGTAATCAAAAGTACGTATATTTATTAAAAAATACAATAGAAATATACATTTCTCAATCCATTTATAATTATAAATACTGAAATTAGAAGTAATATATATAGTTAATAAATTTTAAATTAAAGGTTTAACTAAAATTCTATTTACATTGATTTATGATAACTATAACATAAAATACATTATCAATTTACTTGGATGTATCCAAGTAATATCGAATCCAAATAAAGAGAGAAAGAGAGAAAAATTCGAAATCAATTATTACAATAGCATTATAAGGATATATATAAACTCTTAGGACTAATTTCTTAGTAATAAATATATCATATCAAATTTTGTGGAAGTCTTGTTGTAAATAATTCATATACTAAAACTTATAAATCGAATTCTTCTACAGTCAGATTGAATATATACTCATGATATATTACACGCAAAATAAATAATTTTTTTACATAATTCAACCTAACACACATTTTAATTGCGGGATGTTGAAACAAATTCTAGCAAAACGATAATATTATAACAATGCCAGGACCTATCTCAGTTGTCAGTAGTCTCTAATATGAATCAAATCTGAAGAACATATTCTGTAATCAAATTGATGATACTTAATATAGAGCAGATGACAATAGTAATGCAATAACAAATTGATACAACAAACTCAGAACAGATCATTTACTGCAAAGCATGCATATTATAGTTGTATGTTTGCTGACAGCTATTTGCAGTAGCAAAACTGCATTTACCATCAATCTGCTATCAATATATTCGGTATCTGCTTGCTGTTAATTGCCACTCTATTATATATATTGTGCCGACAAAGATTATTGCATATTAACAGAAGTGTGCTAACAGCATTGGTAATAACAAAGTTTCTCATTTGCGGCCTTTCGGCAAACATACCCAGCCAGAAATGTTTGGTTGAATTGACATTAATCAACCAAACATTTTTGGCTGAGTAATTTATTGCCAACATGCATTTGCGATTGCAGAAATTATTATAGGGGAATGTAATTATATCGAAAGCCTTAAAAATTCCCAGAAATCAAGACTATTTGAAATATTTTATTGATATATTTTATGGTTTCACAAAATAAAACTTTCGTAAATAATCGCTTGAAGTATATAAAATGAAAACAAAGTAAAAATATAATACAAAACTGAGAAAAATAAAATGTTATAATAATAATAATACAAAAAGTACGTGTTTTGCAACTGTATCTAATGCCAGATGAAACTTACTAGAAAGTTTATAAGTATTAGTTTATAACTATAATGGTTTTAAAAGGAATCAGGCTCCCAAAAATAAATCAAAGTTATCAAAATATAGTCAATGTGAACCGAGACGGATGTTGGAGTGTATAATAATTCTTAGTGTTACAATCTCCAGTCCATACAAACTGTGTAATTTTTGTCGGTCTTAAAACACAGTAGTTCTTACATAAAGCCGGAATCCACTGTAACAAATTAAATTGATAAGTAATTTAACATTTAATACTAACAAATATTTACAAGAATCTCCCTCCATCCCAAAACCTGTAAAGAATTTATTGCAAAAAATATCACCTCAGATAGAACAGTGAATTCCGGCTTCATATATAAGAACTGTGTTTCAAGACCGACAAAAATTACAACGCGCAGTTTGAAGCTAGAAAATGTAACAATAAAAATTATTATACATACCAACACTGGTGTTGGCTCACACTTTATTTCGATAGCTTTAATGGTATTTGAACATTTCATCATTTATTCCAGAGTTATTTTAAAGAAATAATTATCATTGTAAAAACATAAAAAAAATTGTCATATGCTTTAAATGAATACAACATTGGTATGAAAATGTGCAATACTCTGGAACATTCTTTGAATAATTTTACGTTGTCTATTAATTTCTGAATATATAATTATTCACTCCATTCTACACACGTGTTTCACCACTTCTTCGATCTTCTTATCTTATTAAAGAAATCGTCTATCATTGTAACGTCACCAAGTGCTTCGTTTTTGCCCTGAAGTATTTTATCAAACGTTTGATCATCACTACAGCGCCTATGACAGTAAATCAATAACGAGAGATTGAAAACAGATAAACTTAATTTTATCTATTAAACTACCCGGTAAACAATTTTTCATAAAAAAATATATAATTATATGCGCAATATATCCATACATATCCATGTTTCTTTCCGTTGTAAAATTGTTTAATATAAGAAAAATAATAATAAATAAAAAAAGAAATAATTAAAAGGATTATTTTTGCATTTTCTTTTACAAAAAATTTAAAGAAGTTTAAAAAAATGAGAAATGCCATATACTATAATTATATATAATTGAAATATAAATATGTAAATATACATATATGTAAACAATTTATTTTTAAAATTTTGATTTTTTGTAAAAAAACAATACAAAAATTAAGCTTTTAATTATTACTTATGTTTTCTCTATATTATTATCATTTTCCTTATACCGAACAATAATTTTACAAAGGAAAAGAATAGGTATATATATATGGACATATTACACATATAATTATAAATAATTATATATATAACCATATATTTTTATACATATGTTTATATGTATTTATATATGTATGTTTTTATATAAAAAATTGTTTACCGGATACTAATACTTATTTTTAAATGCTAAGAGATCAATTAAACACCTTGAATCGTTCTTAATATATATATAATGAAAATTTCGAATTACTTGAAATATTTTTAAGACACTAGAAGCAAATTTTGAAAATTATGTACATACATGTGACAGATTTAATAGTTCAGAAAATCTGAAAACTTGAAATATCGAAATATGAGTATGTGCGTGCGTGCGTGTGTGTATATGTGTGCGTGTGTGTGTGTGTGTGCGAGAGAGCAAAAGATAAAATAGAATATTTTTTTAAAATAATGATCCTCTACTGCAATACATGTTAAAATTCTTTTACGACAACACTGTCGGACACAGGTTAATATTTCTGGTGTCATCTCATTTCATTGTATCTCCCCTC